ATGAAGTACTCTTGGTAGCTGACCTCGCGAGGTTGCTCCAACAGCTCAGCGTTGAAGTCTGGCAAAGCAAACATGATGCTCCTGACAAGTTGCATGGCTTCCGGGCTGAAGGCATGAAGCGCGTCTTCCACGACGGCACCTTCTTTTTTATCAATTGTTGGCGCGACGCTCATTTTCGCCGCAAAGCCGATTTAAATGCAAGCAGCGTCTTTCCTTTTCGCAACTGTAAGTTCTACTCCTTCCTACACAAAGCCACATGTGGTCCACACAGAGCTGGAAGGATATCCTTCCACCTTATATGTGGTCCACACAGAGCTGGAAGGATGGTCCACACAAAGCTGGAACGATATCCTTCCACCTTATATGTGGTCCACACAAAGCTGGAAGGATATCCTTCCACCTTATATGTGGTCCATACAGAGCTGGAAGGATGGTCCACACAAAGCTGGAACGATATCCTTCCACCTTATATGTGGTCCACACAAAGCTGGAACGATATCCTTAAAAAAAAAAGCCGTTAAAAAAGCATGGGAAGCAAGCGCTCTTGCGCGGACGTGGAGGACGAGAACGAAGCGAAGCGCGCCAAGACCACAGAGCCGGCGACGTACGAAGTCCGATTGGGAGAAGAGATTTACGTTAACGTCGACTTTCTTTACAATTTCCCGACATACAAGACCTACTTCGCGAAGCAATACGGCCGATCTGTCGCAAGCTTTATTAAGAAAGGAAACCTTCAAGTGGTTTGCGTGGCTAAGAAGGACGTTGACAACGGCAAGCTGGCGGTAAAACCGTTGTATGCCCCCAAGTCGGATGTGCATTTAGCGAAGAAGAACGATCGCATCGCTGAGCTGATCAATCTCGCGAAGACCAAATCCTATCCTCTTGCTCCGCCTGTAATCACAGACGATGATCTTGCCTTCTTCGTGGACAAGAGTGGCGAGAGGTACGAGGTGGAAATGCGCGGCAAGCGTACCATGGAGGGCATCTACTTCAGGGTCAGAGACGTGGGTATTGTATTCGGGAGTCCCGGTTGCCAGAAATCATCCAGCGAGATAGGAGTACATACACTGCCGCTATGGACTACGTCACTTTGCAAATTCACACCGCCGGTGGGAATCAGCAGAGTGCCGATCTCCCTGTTCAAGAACATCTCCAGAAGAGTGACATCTCACTAGAAGAACACGACCCATCGACAGTCGAATACCAACGCGCTGCTGGGAAAGATGTCTTTTTCACATTTGCCGGGCTGATGCACGCGCTCCACAACACGCACTCGCCCGTGGCGACCGAGTTTCGCCGCTGGGTTTACAAATACGTCTTTACGCTGGCGTATGGCAATCCCGGCCAGAAGAAGAAAATGGTGTCGACGCTATGTAAGGTCGACAAGCTTTTCCTCGAAGCCTTCA